TAACCTCTGCTGCCAACTTTTCCAATGCTAAATTGTGTCTATGTTCTTCGGCTGCTTTCTTTTCTTCGGCAGCTTTTGTAGCAGCAGCTTTTGCAACATCGGCTTTCTTTGCGTTGGAAGTTTTGACTCCAGCAGCTGTAGCACCGACCACTGTAGCCGCCGCGGTAATACCAGCAAATATTAAAGGTAGGGAAAATATAAATCCACCTTTTTTTTACATTTGTATCAATTCTTTCTAAATCTATATCGTCTCTGACTTTACAATATTTGTATTTATCAATAAGTTTTTTAGTTATACTGATTTTTTTACCGTTGAAAGTTATTACAGTTGGGGAATCTGTTTCAACAGCTTGTATTATTTTCATAACTAAAGTTTCTTCTTTCATTTTTAAGGGTGTATTTTTACTCAATTCTTATCATTCTTCTATCTGCTATTTTAATTAAATGTTTTGCTTCTTCCAATAATAAACAATAACCTGTTACATCTCCTTGTATTTTTCAATATGAATATTTATGTTCACTCCTGTTTTGAAAAGATCTTCTTGGTGAGCTGATAGATCAAAACAGAAGATTGGATGATTAAGTGCAAAATCTACATATTCAAACTGAGATAGATTTCCAAATAATTCACACATATTTTTATAGTTTCTATACAATTCATTATAATCCTTTGTGGTTGGATTAATTGTTAAAGGTTGGTTAGGATAATTATCGTTGTTTAATCTTACTTGAACTTTATGGATTAAAGGATTTTGAGTTTGGTTCATTGCCACTCTAAAGACATTATTGTTATTCGTTTGAGAATCTGGTAAGTTCTTGAAACCAACCATTAAATATCTTGCTGGTTTAATAGTGTTGGTGATTGGCCACGTGGTGGATTCTCCCGTTAAAGTCATGCTACCTTCTGTGTTACGAAGAAGAAAAGCTATTTCATTATCTATAGTTAATGAGTTGAATATTCTCGTTTCTACTTCAATTGATGGTGTTATTACGGGTATGAAAAGTTGGAGATTCGTTATTTCTAATTTTGCATCTGAAGCATTCTCTCCAAAGAATATCTTATCGTCGTTGATTTCTCTTTGTAGATGAATTTTTTACCGAATAAAGGATATAATTTCCAATTACCCCACCTATTATTCTCAACAATATTATTGTACTGAAGTACTCGATTTTCAAATCCATGATTAGCTGCTCGTGCTACTCTTTCTATTGTGTTTCGAGCAACAACTCTCACTCTATCTAATCCAGCAACATTTCTTACCGGTTCTTTTAAAACACTTCCATCGCCAACATCGGGTATCCAACCTGAGACTGAATCGAAACTGTTTTCAACATTGTGTCAAATTCCCCAGGGTGTTTAATTGTTTCTATCGGATTTGAACCAGCTTCCAAAACCATTTCGCTAAAAAAAGTTGGAAAGAAATTGTTTTCTAACGTTGTATTAGTTTGAGGAGCTTGATTCTGAGTTCCATCTTTAATTTTCAAATCACATCTGAAATAAGCATCGGAAAGAAGCAACCAAATCGATAATGAATTTATTTCGAAGGTAATTCTACAACCATCATTCAATTGGGGTTTAGAACCAACAGTGGGTGAGATGATAATATAATCCTCTTTTTTCTTGTTAAATGAATAACGAATCGGATCGTATAATCTAAAGATTGGATCTAGTATTTTATTTGCCATTTTTAAGGTTTAAAATTGAGTAGAAAATTGTTTTCCAAAACAAGAGTTATCTCCCTTCAACATTATTTTAAAACCAGATGTTATTTTATATAAGGCTTTTTTGGATGGAATGTAGGAAATTGATTGAAGGTGTTTTTTGGTGTATGGAGTTTAGGTCTTTTTTTAAGTGTAAGGATTTATGAAATGTAGGATGTTTTATGAAATGTAGGATGTTTTGCTGTAAGAATTTATGAAATGTAGGATGTAAGAATTTTATGAAATATAGGATGTTTTGCTGTAAGAATTTATGAAATGTGGAGAATTTAGGTCTTTTTTGGGAGCTTATATATTGGTCGCATTTTCCCCATAAAATGAAATGGAATCCCCATGCGACCAATCTATAAGCTCATACACTACTCATATTTGTTTCAGATAATACCCTACATGATAACCTGGTCTATTCAGTATTTGTAAGAGCGTGGTATGATGATAAAAGATATTATGTTTATAAATCACCTGGTATCACTGTTGTCTCTAAACCACCAACTCTGACTTATTTAGGAGGAGCAGCTGTAAGTACCCCAATGGACGAATACTGGATGTCGCCTAGAAGCTCGGTGTCTAAACTCCCGTCCTCAGCCTAATCTAGAGAACTCACATAGCTATAAATAACGATTATTGATATGCATGGAAATTATTCAAAACTTTATGTAGATTTTCTGTTCTGTTTGATAAATCAATGGCATATTAAATTTTATTGCAGGTTAAAGAATTAGAACAGACAACTGGTAATAAAGATATTGACTACCAAATAAACAACAATACAATAATAGTTGGTTGGAAAGTTAAATTTAATGGTGGCATTCATGGTGTAGATTATTACCAGATTTATATCAGTACACATCCACAAGGTATACAACTTCATACAAAGCGTTTCTTGTATTGCTAAAATGATCTGATGTTCATTTATCCTTACAAACGTCTGACAATATCAGAAGAAAAGATAACAGATAGAATTGAAAGAAAACATCTCCTATAGATACGAGTCAAGAATGTTGTATATTATTTCAGGTCACAATATCCATAGGAGTGACACAAAATTATCGCCACAGCAGAAATCATTCAGTATATCTGGAGTAAAGTTACAAGAAGATAAGATATATTACAGCACAGTTTTAGCCTTTAACAAAGCTGGGTTATGTAGCTGGAGCACCAGTGATGGCATCACAATTGATTCTACACCACCTTCAACTGGTATCATACATGATGGATTAGGTAAGTATAAATTTTGGTATTATAGTTAATACTATACCCCCATATGGTGTCACTCACGAGTATCATGTAAGATTAGTATTGGCGAAAGCCTAAATATTTTTGATTGAATTTATTACATTTGTCTTTTGATTTGTTCCAGACCCACACGACTCTGAATACCAGTCATCTGATAGCTTGCTTGCTGCTTCGTGGTACGGTTTCTCTGATATAGGATCAGGTATTGTGAATTATTACTGGTGTGTTGGTAGACAGAATGACTCCACTACTTGTGATATATTACCATGGACTAATGTTGGTTTGAAAATAAAAACCACTGATATATCACCTATGGAATTGCATTCAGGTAAATGAAAATACAAATTTCAATTTAGCACATACAAAGACAGCAATTGGTTTTGGTAAAAGAAATATATGTATAGTTGTCTTGAGTTATAAATGTAATTAAAACGTAACTTCACCATTTGTATGTTACAGGAGATAAGATCTATCATAAAGTATATGCTGTAGACGGTAGTGGTTTACAATCACAAGTTGGTGTCTCTAATGGGATTATTATTGATACTTCACCACCTGAACCAAGTTACCTGGAATTTATTGGAGAGAATCTCATCCTTAATCCCTCATTTGAATCAATATCTGATGACACAACAACTTCTTGTAATTCTAACATCCCCGAGGATTGGTCTACAGATTCACAATCTTGTGTTAAAACTCGATCATCTCAACATTCAACAGCTCATGATGGTGATGTTTATATCTCTATAACAGTTCAGATTCAACAAACCATTCAATTTCTAGATACAGATTGTTCTTATCAGCTTACTGTACATGTTGGTTACCCACATGACATCTTATTATCACATCATATAGTAGAAGGTTTTATTAGATTGGGACATGAAATAAACAGTTTTAAACTGAATCCAGATCTCTGTCAGGGTGATAGTTCTGAACTTGTCGATGTGATTCATTGGTATAAATTCACCTATATTTATCAACCAATAAATACACGGGAGGATTTAGTAATTGGTACAACAAGAAATAATATGATATTGGCAATAGATGATCTAGAGCTCAGAAAAATAAATCATGTATCATTGAAAGATACCAACAATAATCATATAGTATATCACCCGACTTTTACACCTCACTGGTCTTCCTTACATTTTAACTGGTATATTGAAGATAGGATAAGTTCTATTGTGGAGTATCAGTGGGCTCTAGGTAAGTCATATCTTATGCACATTATCTTTACTTGGTTTGTCAAGCTGTCTTCATGTATACCACAGACATGAAATGCAATGAACATAGTTTTACGCCCTACTCTTCTGCACCTAACTGATGTTTAATGTCTCATACCACTTATATTTGTTCAGAAGACTCATTAATTTCAAGAAGTAGTATCAATTTTTATATAAAATAATTGAACAATAAATACTTTATATTTAATCTATATTCAGGTACAGTGAAAGGTGGAACTCAGATCAGAGAATTTACAACAACTGGTGATAGAAGCCACGTGACTGTTTCTAATCTACCCTTGGTTCACAACTCTCGGCTATATTTCACTGTTAAAGCTCGAAATGG